CAAAAAATTTTGATAAGTTATATTTTCATTTTCATTTACTTCAAATATTTTTAAAATTCTCTTGAGATTTCTTCTTTGATCCATGTGTTAGAAGTGTGTTGCTTAAGGGGTACCTGGGTGGTTCAGTCAGTTAAGTGTCTGCCTTTGGCCCAGGTCATGATCCCAGGGTCCTGGGATGGAGCCCTGTGTCCAACTCCCTGCTCAGTGGGGAGTCTGCTTCTCCCTCTCCCTCTGCTCCTATGCCCTTCCCTGTCCCTCTCCTCCTACCACCCCATTCAAGCACGCACACTCGCTCTGTCCCTCTCTCAAATAAATGTAAAAAAAAAAATCTTAAAAAGTGTGTTTTTAAGCTCCAAATTTGGGGATTTTCCAGCTATTTTTCTATCATTAATAACCTAGCTTAATTCTATTGTTATCTGAGAGCAGACACTGTCTGATTTCTGTCCTCTTAAATATTAAAGGTGTGTTTTGCAGCCCAGAATGTACTCTATGTTGGTTTGTGTCCTGTGTTCCATGTGCTGTGAGTTTATTTATAAGACACTAACAAAAATCCTTCATTCCCATATCTTTATTTGAACAATTTCTGTAATAGCTAGGAGAATACAGCATTAATGACGCACATTTACTAAGGACAACATTAGACAACTACAAATTTAGAGTGTAAATGTCAATCTGATATTGTTTTGGTTTTCATCTTAGCACTAGATGATAACTAGTGAAAACCCATGTTTCAAAGGCTTTTGTTGATATGATGTGAATTATTAACTTATTTTTTAAAATTCTACGTGAGATATGCTCGGATGGTTTCAATTTAAAACCAGAGTTAGTTGATAATGCCTTTCACTTCTTAGTATTTCTGCTTCTTTCCTAATGGATGAATATTTTACCTAAGAACTTTTCAATGATTAACTGTGTCATGTTTTTCGATGTAGATCAAAACAGAATTTCTTTTCCAGATCCAACAAGGAAAAATATTTGAAAAACTGCAATGTTCAGTTTCATTGTACTTAAACAGCATATCCATTTCACAGTAAATTAATAATTAAAATTAACAATTCAAATACAATATGTTAAATGTCATGATGAGCTCATTTCTGTGTAACATTGGTAGAGCAATTTAAATTTTCCAAGGACGCAAAAAATTACTCCAGGAGTCCACAAAAAATACATAACCAGCAATCATAAATTACAACATACATATCCACATTTAAAGGAAAAAGTCACCATTTGTTGGAAAATATTAAATGGCTCAAGTAATTTACAGAGCCTGAAATGTAGGCTAAAGTTTTATAACATATGATAACAATAAGATATTTGAAACTATTGACTGCAAAATGCATGAAAATGTACTGACCTACCAAGCATTGAATTATACATACCAGTTTCCACTCGAAAAACATGTTTCTTCCAAATATCTCAAGCTGTATCACAATACTAAGGAAACTTTAGTCATTTTCAATCATTTTAGGAAGCTAATGACACTCATGAAGTTAAGCTAATGAACATTTTCACTAGACCAAATTAGAAAATTAAAAAATGTACAAAAATGCATTTTGGCAGCTATTTTACAAAGTACCTTTCAGTTCCTGATCTATTGAGAAATCTGCTGTATGTAACTCGAGGTTGATTTAATTTGGGGTAATGCAATGGATTAGAATTTACAGAACTCTTCTCTGTTTTCATTCAAACTTTTATATATAGTACACAGTTCCTAAAAAATTTTTTTAAAGCATGTCTATGGAAGGTCTTACAGTTGTACCCTTTACCTGTATTAAGAAAAGATCAGGGAGAAACATGCCATTTAAGCATTACCAAGAAGCTAACTTCTTTCTTCCATATGTTCATTTGCTTCCTTGTGACACAATGCCCCCCCAAACTCAGGACCACTCTTTCCGCCCACATTCACCGGCTCTGAGACTGGTGCTGAGTTCTGATACCTGTTTGCAAATCACAGAAAAGAAAGGAAGGCGAAGTCCCAGGAGGGATAATCATGCAGGAAGGAGAGACAGGAATCCGTGGCTGCAGGCCACGCCCAACCAAAACCCTCTCAAAACCTTGAGAAACAAGGCAAGATACCCTCTCCCGGTAAGTCAGTCCCTTACAGAGGAGAAGTTCCCAGAGAACTTAAGGCAGCTCTCGGAGGGAAGGGAGCAGGGGTTAAGGCGGTCCACACAGCACAGCCTGAGAAGAAATCACACCGCACTTACCCATGAACAGTGGCCCCAGCAATCCCTGGAGCCTCTCTAACACGCATGCACGGAGCATGCCTCCCAGCTCCGGAGGCAACACTGGCAGCATGCACACACTGTAACATTCAGACACACTGACTTGCACGTGGCTGGCCCGGGGACAGGCCTCAGGAGGTACCAGGCGGCTTGGCTGCAGGCTGCTCAGCTCACCTGGCAGCTCTATGTGGCTCTGAGAGGAGTGGGCGTTGAGAGTGACCTACCTAACTTTGGGGAGGCTTGCACGCCTTCCAGCCAGGTTGAGACGCCTGCGTCTAATTAAAGACCTAAACGCAGAGTATTGCACCCTCCAAGGGAGCTCTGACTCATCATAAAAATCAAACCTAGGTATAGCAGGGAACGGACAAGAAGAAAGCCACCAAGCTCCGGGCACTTCATCTTGTTAGCACGAAGAACCTGGGATGTGGCACTTGCTCAGTTCCTACATGCCAGTTGCCAATTCTGATAAAAGAGAGAAAAAAAAAGAATACCTCCTGCTGACCCAAGGCACCCCACAGCTACCAGGAGAAACGGAAAAACAGAATGTCCCCTGCAGACTTTTCAGTCTCCTGCCTCCACTTGCCCACTGCACCGCCAGGGCAGCAGGCAGGAAAGGGACACCGCGGGAGGGCGGTGTGACCTCAGCGCATCACTGACCTTCTCTTTCTCAAATTATCATCAGCGAGCTACCCTTTCGACCTTCCAGCGCTGTTGTGAGGATACAATGAGGTAACAGAGGACGTGTGCCTAAGAAAAGCATAGCCAGATGCAAGGTCCTGGTCTGCACTACTCTCAGCAGGAGATTTTAAGGGTCACACACTCGTTTTTGCTTTCTGTTTCATCCCCAACAGTTGAAGTTACTCAGGGGATCCTTGAGGATGCCGCCTGGGGAACTCTACATTCTGGTGACTCTGTGTGTGTGTGTGTGTGTGTGTGTGTGTGTGTGTGTGTGAGAGAGAGAGAGAGAGAGAGAGAGAGAGCTGGAGGGGCTCAGAGAAGGAGAAAAAGAGAAAGAGAGGGGAGGGCAGGTGGATATATGACTATTGTGTGAGGATTTCTCAGGATAGGATAGGTGCCCTTTTACCTAAGGTTAGCCGCCCTCACATGTTACTAAAAGATCTCATCTATATTCTATATGACACATATAATTACCCAGAAAGAGCCAACTCAACTCTCAATTACCCACTGAAACAAAGGCAATAAAGCAAATCGTACAAAATGACCGGAATCCCCAAATATCCTTCCGGTAGGCTTTGGAATGTATCTTTTTGTACTTTTGCACTTGGTGATAGAAGTGTCAGATACATGGAGATTTTTCAAAACTTCCAAAGGAATCGCTTTCTGGATCTGACCTTCCCCCTTCTTTATAGTTACTCTCAGGTCAGGTAGACCAAAGCCTTAACCGAAGAAAAGCTACAAGGAAAACTGCTGTTTTCAGCCTTGCGTTCCCAGATGTGAGCGGAGTCTGTATGTAAGGTGAGTGGGGAGACTGTTGAGAAGGAGCTATTAAGACAGAACCCTGTTCTTTCAAGATCTTTCTTTGAATTCCCATTGTGTGTCACAGGGGAGATATGAAAAAGCAAATTAGTGACAATGTTAAGGAATGTACTGCCAAGAAGCGAGAACAACAATATCAAGCCTGAAGGGAGGCCGGGGGGCAACTGAGGACTGACTCCATTCGCTGCCTTGCACACAGTCAGAGTCAGTGAGCAGGCAGGTGATGTGATGCACGGTTGGGCTGTGGGAAGGGAAAGAGTGAAGGGTGGAATGGGCAGGTAGACGGCTGGGGAAGGTAGGTTTCCCAAGCTGGGTGAGAAAGTATGGTTGGAGAGAGGGTGAGCTGTCCTCAGAGGGGCTAAAGAAAACCCCTAGTCAGCAGATTATTGTTGCAGCCTCAAGAAAGTAGCACACAGAGTCATTTACCAGGTATTGGGGGTCCCTGGTTGTAAGGTATTCTTGTTATGACTAAAGATCTTTGGGCTGCTAAGAGAAGTTAATTCAGATCCCCATCTGGGGTCCTGGGTAGGCCTCGGAGGAAGCTGGAGCCTGGAAGAGTAGAATCTTTGTGTGACCATCACCGAACAGGAGAGATTCTGGCCCAGGTGTGGAATGGAGGCTCCAGCACTTTCCAGCACAAAGGCAGGAGACAAGAGAGAGACGTTTCAGGATACGAGCTGTCTGGGGTACGATAAAGGGCTGCAATGGCAGTAGAAGCTACAGTGTGCTCTTGAAGACCTGACAAGATTCAGGGTGTGCACAGGACATGTTACACAGGGACTAAGCTGGGGAAGGGACTGAGAGGATTTGCCAGTCCAAGGTGGACAGCCTACACCACGGTGGCATTTTTTTTTAGCATCTCCCCTATGCAATGAGTCAGTTCATTGAAAACCACATTGACAACTGGGGAAAAGTAAGAGAACCTGATTCAATCAGTAGTGTTTTGGCTGATTTTGCAAATAAATAAATGTATCTAACCTGAATGCAGCAGTACATGATTCAATAAAAATTACCCAAACTAATTCACGTTCAAAAAGCATGCAAATCATGTACACTTAAGAAGAGTTATAGCTACACCAACTTGTAATTTTACATTTAATTAATCCCCCAGGATTAAGAGGCACCAAACACTGATCTTTCCATTTGAGGGTGAACTTACTGAGTAACTGCATCTAGTTTCTCTATAATCCAAGTGCCAAGAGAAGAGAAATTTTAGATGTGGAAGGGTCCAACCCTCTTATTGTATAAACGAGGAATGTGAGGCCCAAATAAGTTAACAGTGTTTATCTTTTAATAACAATCTTTATCATGATTTAAAACTGACTTCCATTAATATTGCACGTTTTAATAAGATGTCATTTTTCATAGACCATCTAACAGTTAAGTTATATAAATCTATGTTTGTGATTCAGAACCAGAGTTTCTAATGAAAGTTAAGAATTTGCTCTTGCACAATCTGAAAGACCCACTGTCTAGGATTTCCAGGAAAAATTGAGAATATGTTTAATTAGGATTTCAGAATGAAACTTATAGGATCTGGGTCTTATTGAAGCATATCCTCTGTAAAATTTAGCAATCTTCTTATATTTCTTACATAAGTCTTAAAGTATTCCTAATACGATGCTCCTTAAAGTATCTAGTGGTACTGAGAACATTTACAGAAGTTGCAAAGCCTAAAAAAAAAATGGAACCATAGTATTTATTATACACCTTCTTTTGCATAATCTATAGGATAATCAAGGTTTCAAGACCTGAATCTTCTTTAGACAGTGACTGAGATTAATTCTTAATAAATTAAGAAGAAGAAAGAAAACCTGTCAGGATTGAAAATATGCAGTGCAGGAATCTGGTCTGGGAACTAAAAATAAGTCACTTCACAGAACACTGTACCCTGATGTGATATCCACCCAGGGAAAATGAATGAGCACATCAATGTAATACATTCTGAATAAATAATGACATCAACAGCCACTTTGTCTAATCCTATCCCTAAATGTCAAACATTTTGTCATATTACTACATGACTTCCCAGTGTCTGCTACTTGTGCAGGTGAATCTGTATATATTTGCACATAATCCAGTTAAAACTGATCTGACTGAATTGTAAACAGAGTTGATAAGAGAAGCTTATTGTTGTAGTGCCTAATAGGAATATCATTTATATATTAAAGAACACAGTATGTAGCAGCAATTTAAAATGCTCAGTAAACTACAGTACAAATGGACTTCTATGCTATATGGCAAACCAACATTCTCGTAATATCTCTATATCATAGTGACACATATAAGGAATTTTCTTGACCAAGTACTTTACATACTGCCAGTTTATTTCTTTGATCCAGTTTGACAACATCAACATAACTGATTCCTAAACTGATATAATATGTACTCAATGGCAATTTTTCTTTCAATTCTTCTGGTCCGCGTAGAGGAGGCTCTTTGTAGGTACCTTCCTAACAACAGCTCATTCCTGGAATTTACATTTTTACCATACCATTTAGATGCAGTGCTAAGGATTTAAAATAAATGCGGGCAGCTGGAGACCTTTTTTTCCCTTTTCCTTCTGTGATTCACCTGCATGTACCTCGGGATACCTAACTGGTCCAGGGTGACTGTTGCTGGTAAGGTAACACAAAGAAGCCTATTGTTCTTTCCAAGACAATGAAAGTATTTAGGGAGATTTCCAGTTAATAACCTCTGATTTGAAAGATAATTAGTACTCTCTTTAAAAATGTCTTTTCAGTAGTTCACTGGAAATAATGGGTTCTTATTGTCACTGTTTGCCTTGACATCACATCACCTTCAGACCCGTGATATGAATCCCAGGCCCAGGCTGGCTGGAATCTGGATGGTTTCTAGTGCAAGGGAGGATGGGTTAAAAGGAAACGTGACAGGAAAGATATGTTTCGCATCCATGAGCAGCTGAGGAGAGTCTTTCCTGTCTCGTAAACGCATCTGAGATTAAAAAAACAAAAAACAGAGCATCAGTTCTCCGAACCTATAAAGATTTTTTCCCCCACCAAAAATCTACCAAAAAGTCCTCAACTAATAATGTTTATATTTGTTTTAAAATCACTTCCTTTTTCTAATAAGCTGTTATCAAAAAGTTAATGCACTGTTAAAATGAGATAATACAATAATAAAACACATTTTTTCTCAATAAACTGCAAAATTTTCATTCAAAAAACTGTGCTTGTGAATCAAAGAAAAAGAAAGCCTGGGAGATCTTACCTGTATAGTACGAATAAATGATACAGAGACTCTTTCTTCAAACTCATTAACTGGAGTATACAAATTCAATACTTTGACAATCTGTGAGAATGAAATGATCAAAGTTTTCAGCATATTATCAAACACACACTGGGTGCTTATAATCTGGAAAAGTAAAAGGATCTATGCAGATAGTTTGTAATTCTACTCAGGGCTGGGTTGGGATAAGGGGAGAGAGAGCTGGTCTAAAGGCATAGTTACCTTTACTATGTGAATTTTTAAAATAAGAATGTATTTATGTAACATTTATACATTTTAAAAAGTAATATAAATTTGGAAAAACAACAAACTACAAAAAGAACACTACATGAAAAGGAAAAGTGTCCCACTCGATCCTCTCAGTCTACCCTAGTGGCTACTGTTAATGATGTCCCTTGTTTCCACCCAGCTGCTTTCTATACTTACCCTAGGTAAAATCTAGGTAAGATGTCTATACTACAAGACACATAAAGAACATTAAACAAGCCCAGGAGTCAGCACAGAAATAACTGGCAAAAGAAAAACAGGCCTTGCCTCATGCTGTTGCCACTGTCCTCAAATGCCCTTCCCCTCTTCTCACTTCCTTAAATTCAATGCCCAGCCTAATGGGACCTTCCTTGAACACAGTTATCGCCCCTTGGCACTTCCTTTAGACATCTTACTATAGAATTTGCTTCAACCTCATAGAGTAGAATCAGCTGGGTACATCTGCCTTGCCTACTACTGGAAAATTCCTTTTAGGGAAGGATTGTTTCTTATTTTTTGAAGTAACTCCCCAGCAACAGGTATGGCGCCTTGAGATAGGAGCCCCATGAGTCATTTATTAAAATGAACGAACAAGAATGATCTGTCTTAAAAATAGAGAAGTCTAATATCATTCAATTATCAAATAATATGGAAAATTACTTTTTGGAATACAGGCTGCACAGAATGCAGAGAACGTAGACCCCATGAAAGCAAGGGCGTTGTTTTGTTCTTGGTTGTATCTCGGTGCCCACGGCATTATGCAGAACATGTAAACAATAAAGATTTATTGAATGTGGACTGCAGATGACTGTGACTCCCACCAAAACGTATTACTTTCAGGTAAAATCTCCTTTCTTTAAGATCTGCATAGATCTGTGTCTTCTCTGACACACGTGAAGACAAGAGCAATGGCCGGCGGGGACTCCTTACTTCCCTAAGCATCACCCTTGCTGAATGCTACAGGGTCTCTCAGCAGGGGGAGGTGCTTCACCTGGGCAGTAGTTAGAGCACTGCACATGGAACAGATAGCTTCTGCATCATCATCTGTCTTCTTTTTCACTTGTAAGAGCTGAGCAGCCTGAATGAGAGGTTCCAGGGTTTCCTTAGCCCCGCTAGTCATCAGATTCTTGTCACGCAGCCATTCTTCCAGTTGACTGACATTGTACCTGCCACAAAGAGAGAGAGAGGGAGAGAATGCAAATTTACTGAATGTCGTCATAGATGTCTTCATTTTTTAGGTATGGCTTTGTCAGGAATCTCAGTTAAAATGACAGGCAGTATTTTTGTTCAATTTTCTTAAATTTTACCAGCTGTGCTTAAAATTTTATTATAGCCATGAGGTTTATAATCATAATTATATAAGAGTAAATGACTGGATGATATAATTAACTTCAATGGAAGGTAGAAATAGAGCCATTACAGCCAAAATTATGAAATAAAACCTGCTGAAAGACAAAACAGAATATCCAATATGGCCATGTCCTTATTAAACAGCTGACCAGAAAACGCTTCCCAGTTTGTCTTACAACATCAGAGGAGAGAATCGATAAACTTCAAGTACCCCTTCCTCCTTCAGTCAGACTCCACGGCAGTCACGAAAAACAAGATGCCCCCACACAGACCTTGTGCGGCAGCCCTGTTTAGGGAAGAGCCTGAGTGATGGAGTAGGGGCCTGAGGAAGCCCAGCGATGGAAGGAGAGAAGGTAAGTGGGGGAGGGGGAGCACTGGAAGAGACATGATCCCAAATGTGGAGAGAGATGTAGAAATTACACAGATGCTGAGATTTCAAGAAGTGATCAACCAGGAGACAGTGGTTCCCATGCTAAAATGCTAAATGGACACTTGCAGTCAGGCAAGTAGGAGGCAGTTTGATATTATAACAGTGCTTCACATGTATAGAGAAATACATAAACAAACCTTAAAGAGATAAATTCCACTACCTGAATGAAAGGATTATCTTCTTAATTTAACTACAATGCATGTGTGTCAGAATGGAAAATTTGAAAAGAATGCCAAGGTTTCCTGAGATTAACTAAAGACTTATGTAGGAGAGATTCTTTTTTTCCTCTCTTGGTGAATATTCTGTTTTAAAATAAACGATTTGCTGGGGCGCCTGGGTGGCTCAGTTGGTTAAGCACCTGCCTTTGACTCAGGTCATGATCCCAGGGGGATCGAGCCCTGAGTTGGGCTCCCTGCTCAGTGTGGAATCTGCTTCTCCCTCTCTCCCCTGCTCTCTCTCTCGCTATTTCTCTCTTGCTCTCAAATAATAAATAAAATCTTTTAAAAAAAATAATAAATTATTTGCAAAAAAAAATGCTGAGGAGTAACTGGGCATAAAAACTGAGTGCACATTTTTGTAAAAGATACAGGGGCATGTTTCCGGTTAGTAAGAGGTCTATTAGACATGTTCTTGTTGCCATGGTACAAAAAGGTGTTTTGTCAAAATAAATTTCTAAGAGAAAGCAAACATTAGAAATCTTCATGATAAAAGAATTCGGTATTTTGTTAGGTACAATTAAAAACACACGCAAAAGGTGAGGAAGCAGCTATCTCAACTCGAAGTATTTTTTATCATCTCTCCATTCCCTCCAACAAATCAGTGTCCCGGGGAAGCAGGGTTCCCAGCTAGTGGAGGGGAGAACCTGTTGAAAGGCACAGTCTGGAGCAGTACCGCATGAAAGTGGAGAGGTCCAGCCAGGCAAGAGAAGACAGCTCCATGCGGGGTCTTCCCCGGCTGGTTGGCTGGTGGCAGCAGACATCAGCTACCCTGACCGCAAACAAGCCATCGGCCCCTGCACCGCGGCCAGCAGTAGGGCCGGGAGTGGACAACAGCGCAGGTGCTCTCTGCTCACCTGATCTGCATGCCTTTACTCCAGGAGCACATGTCCTTGCGCAGGAGGAGGTTGTTCAGGGTGACGGCCCCAACGATGTAGAACATCTGCTTGACCACCTGCTTGATCAGTTCAGGGTCCATGCCGTGCTGACACAGGACCGAGTGGAAGGAGTTGAGCTGCCGAAGGATGGAGTCCAGTGTGTAGGTGCCCTCGTCTGCGATGCTGGACGTTCGCTTTCTGAGCCCTGTGGGCTTCACGCCAGACACACCCTGAATGGTTTCGTGCTCCAGCATGCCAGAGACTGCAGGAGGAGTTCAAGCGTTAGAAGATGCCTGTTACACGTGCATACACACTTGCTCACGCATGCACACGCGTATTCTTATGCATTCAACTTAGGAAAGTGATCTGAGTATCAAAAGAAAGGGGAAAAGAACTTTCCGAAAAAGGGCTTCCAGATTTTAAACTTTAATGAAGGAATAATTCTTTTTTTTTTAAAGATTTTATTTATTTGACAGAGAGAGACACAGCGAGAGAGGGAACACAAGCAGGAGTGGGAAAGGGAGAAGCAGGCTTCCCACTGAGCAGGGAGCCTAATGCGGGGCTCGGTCCCAGGGCCCTGGGATCATGACCTGAGCCGAAGGCAGACGCTTAATGACTGAGCCACCCAGGCGCCCCAGGAATAATTCTTAAATGCAAAAATTTCCCATGAAATTGAGAAATCTTAATGGTGCATTTTCTAAAATACAAAGCAGCCGCCTTGTACTAGCACAAGCTTGTGATATCTTGTGAGGGTTTTTGAGAAAGATGCACCAGTTAGGGAAAGGAGAAGAGATTCTCCAGGGACATCCAAGCCCCACAGGCAAACCAAGTGGCAAGAACAGCAGGAGACTGGGCAGTGGTCGTGGAGAAGCCTTGGGAGCGGATGGTTATGTGGGGCTGGAAAACCAGGCCCTTCCTTGCCCCGAGCTTCCCACACTAGCAGGGAGGCCTTGGGTTAGTCTCAGCCTCCCGGAACTCAGTCTTCCCAAATCTGGGGCACTGCTCCCCGCCGCCCCCGCCCCCCGCCCACTGCGCCCTCACAGTGTTTGGCTTATGCCTCCTCTAGGATGGTTGTGGGATGACCAGCCCCTGGCCTGGCAGCCCCTTGAGAACAGGGGCCACTCCTGATTCATTTTTTTTTTTTAGTGTAACTGTATGCATGTTTTTTTATTAATAATTATAATTATTTTTCTGATCATATTTTTTCTGATTATAAAAAAAAATGCCTGTTCATTGGGGAAACTTTGAGCAAAGTATAGAGAAGAAAATAGGAATCATCCACAATCCCATTACCCAGAGATAACCACTATGCTATTTTGTTGCATTTTCTGCCATATATATATATATATATATACTACATATTAATAATCACAGCATGTGTATGGTGATTAACATAGTTTAAAAAAATAATCACAGCATGTGTATAACTTGGTATCTTTTTTCATTTTCTAAATAATACAAGTGACTTTACATATGACCCTAGCTAATGTATCTCTGCACCCTGGTAACAGAGTATTCCAAATGGTGGTTGCAGAGCAATTTGGAAAATTCTTTAAGTCAGAGAGCATGAATAGCATAGATACCGTAGACCCATTTTCTCCTGCCCTGCTTCTGGGAGACCATCCGGCAGATCTGGCTACTGTACTCTCATTTTCAGACTATATCATATGATCTTCTTTCTGCATTTTTTCACCTTAAAAAGTGGTAAGTACACATGCCGAAAATTAAAATGATTATTTGGGGAACACGACCTGTCACCCATTCTTACCATATGGCTCACAGAGGTGGACTTTGCTCTGGCTTGTAAATTCAAAGGACCTCCAAGCCAGGTAGGACCCTCCCGGCTCATCAGTCCAAACCTCTAATGCAACAATGAAGGGAAGCAGAAAGGAAAAGTGCCCTGCTGAGGGTCACAGATGGCATGGTCAGTACCCGAATGCCTTTCTGATAATCTTCCATCTATTTGAGATGCTTTGGATGATGAACTAATTGGTAAACTTCAAAGATGTCATGACTCCCACAAAAATACACAACCAACTGCGGTCAGTTGCTAAAGGCATCAAATGAAGCCTAAGGATTGATAACGTCCATAGGGTGGCATTTCTCAGATGGGCAATTCCATTTAATATACCCAGATATTGGAGAAAATATACCATCTACAGAAAACTATTTTTCTATTCCATGCTCACTTACTATGAGATCAGACCTTGCTGAATGCCATAGAGTCATGTTATACAGACTTACAGAACTTGCAGCCTGGTTGGGGAGACGAGAGGGACATATGAGCCAATATGGTACATTCATACAATGAAATGTCACGCAACCATAAAAGGCAAAGAGGTAAATCTGCACAAACTGCCATGGAAAGATGACCATAATATGTTATTAGAAGAAAAATGCTGACCAACAGGAGTTTGATGTACATGTAGTAAGATCTCTTCTGTGTTTTAAAACAAAGTACATTCACACACTTAAATGTTTTTCTGTGCATAGAAAATATCTAGACAAATAGGCACAAACTTTTAACAGTGGCTATTGAATGGAGTGGGATTTTAAGATGGGGGAAATTATATTTCTTTTTACTTTTTTCCTGATTCATTTTTATATCTCTTAGTCATTTTATAGCTCACAGTGCTAACCAAAGCTTCCACAGAACCTCACATTGACAAAAAACATTGGCGGTTTTATCAAATCACTGGGAGATGGGGGCAGTGATTTAAAGTGGGACATCTCAGCGGTAAGCTTCCTGTTTAGCCAATAAAAATAGGCAAAAGTAGAGGATATATTGGCTGAAGCTGATCTTCTCTGCAACTGTGTCACCTGTTACAAGCTGACCTACACTGCTTTGAATACACACCTGTTAGGGGACAACTGAAGAACTGACCCCTGAAGTCATCCCCTAAGAAAAATCACTGCTGTCTCCCATGGCTTCCTCAGCCTTTTATGTTTCTGGTTGACTAACTGTGGGTCTGCGACAGAAGACAGAATACTAAGGGCAATGAAGAAGTTGTGGGAATGTGGAAAACACATGGGTGGGAAAAGAAAGGGTAGCTAGGAGTAGCCTTAAGAAGCTGCTGATAGGGGCGTCTGGGTGGCTCAGTCAGTTAAGCGTTGGCTTCAGCTCAGGTCATGATCCCAGGGTCCTGGGATCAAGCCCCATGTGGGGCTCCCTGCTCTGCGGGAAGCCTGCTTCTCCCTCTCATACTCTCCCTGCTTGTGTTCCCTCTCTCGCGATCTCTCTGTCAAATAAATAAATAAAATTTTTAAAAGAAAAAAAAGAAGCTGCTAATAATGTGCCTGAAGATAACAGTTTGATATCTTAAAACAAATTTAATTCAATCCATTCAAAATTAGCAGCCTGCAATTTATATATGCCTCCTTCCTACTTCATACATGCTACATATGCCAAGGAATATAGGTAGTGCAGTACATAAATACACACCCAGAGTACGCGAATATAAAGAGAGGTACGAGACTCACACACCTAGTTGAACACACACATATAGAAACACACACATGCACACCCCAGTCAGTTATCCAATGAGAAACCACTCCTTGCCTTTGACAATTCCATGGGGGCCTTGAGATGTGTAACTCATCATGGAGTGGCTGAGACCTAGTCTTGTTGCCATGGTACCCCCCTCCCCAGCCCTTTGACTATAACCTAATAGGCAAAGGGCAAACTCTCCCCAGCCTCCTTTGTTTTAGGTGGGCCCCGAGGAGGCCCTGTGTAGCAGTTTCCTAGACCAAAGTTTAAAGTGTTTTTGAAAACTAGACAAGGAATGAGGTATATTGCTGGGTATAAAGCAGAACCCAAATTCAAGGAAGAGGCATCACCCAGTGGGGAGATTCACTAGATACTGCCATTTCAATCATGTGAAAGCAGTGATTTTGATGTATCCCAATTAGTCATGGCTGGGGTTCTGGGATCCCTCAGCTAATTTCAGGACTGAGTCTTACTACTTTATGTTCTTTGTATCAAGACATGCCTCCAAACAAGTGTCGTTGCTGCACACGTGAGGCAGACAGACCTTGACGTCAGCCCGGCCCTCGCCTTACCGATCATTGGCTGCAGGATGTTCTCTAACACCCGCACGAGCTGCTGGTAGATCTGAATAGCCAAGTCACTTAGCACCTGCCGGTACTCAGCCAGGTCGAAATTGGTGAGGCAGTGTTCATTCTGGCGAGACGTGTTGTGTTTCATAAAGCCCTAGAACCAGAAAGCAAAGTTACTGACACCCATGAAATCAAATGTCTCTCCTAACTCCTTTGTTTGATCAGATTCCCCCGCTGTCTTTCCTCTGAAGAGTTTCCATCTGTTCCACTCTTGAATGCCAGACTGTCATTCTCAAACGCTCTGTTGTGTTTGTTTCCATCGTAACCCCCTTCCACTTCTTATCAGCTTTTGAATAATATCTCAACTTGGCTAGCTAGCAGTTAAGCCCTTCCAATAGCTATGTCAGTGAAACAAGATGGGTGAACTTAATTTGGGGGAAAAAAAAAAGGAATGAGCATTTTCACTTATGACGTCGCACATTTACTGCCAGACACTAAATTATCTCAAGTACTAATCTCCTAACTTCAGTTCTATTAAATAGAGTCCTATTTATAAATACTGCACCTGAAGGGCATACATAATCTTTTTAAAATAGACCAATTTCTACCGAGATCAGTGAATAAATAAAAAATTTCCCTTTATTATATTTCATGGTGACCATACATGATTTTCAATCCAAGCTTAGAACGGAATTTTTTGGTGGTATTAGTTAAAATGGAAAATCACCTGTACAGGCAGGTACTTTTGTCAGACATTGCCTACTTGATGGATTCTACCCAAAGCCAAGCATCGGCCTCCCTACAAACTACCTGACAACACGGTCTAGAAGTGAGGACTGACAGGACAGCTAGTGGCCCCTCAGAGGAATTCTAGTCTGAATGTCCCACCTTCGCAGGGACTGCACCTTACTCATTTTTATGCCTTCCAACATTTGCCAGGACCGTCCTCTGCCCTAGCCTCTGGGTGCCCAGAAAATGCTACTGGTCAGCTTCTCTGCCTGCCCTCCAGGCAAAAAATGGAAGGCATGGACAGCCGTGGGTAGGGGCACAGGCTGCAGAGGCGGCAGCCCCAGAACCCCAACTCTGCTCCTTCTGACTAAGAGGACCTGGGCAAATTGATGAACATCACCCAACTTCAGTTTTTCGTCTATAAAACTGGGTTGTAATTCCTACCTCACAGAGATGCTGTAAGAATTAAATAACAGAGTGTATAGGAAGTGCTGTCTGATACATACTGAGTAGATCTTAATAAAGAATAATTACATAGTTTTGAAGTCTCTCAAACACCTGATGAGCTTATCACTGCAAATAAAAGCAGAATAGGTTTTGGGGCCAATCTAAAGAGATATGCCTCAGTTTGATCACCTTTTACGTATTATGGAAAGCCAAAATTGATGAATTTCTTTAAATAGTTCAATATTTCTTATTATCAGCCCCCTGAAAAGCCCACTTCCACCTACTGACAAGAGGTTTCATGGCTTGTAATAATTCATTAACTAATGCCCATTTTATTTCCGCTATGCTTTCTCATAATACAAACTCTCAGAGGGAAGAAACTATGTTGCTCTCCAATTCACGGTTTCATAAACAATGAACATCAAACAAAGCTATGAGCTTCCAACCCACCTCTGAATTCAGGTTTCTAAATTATCAAATGGGGGCCGCCTGGGTGGCTCAGTCTGTTAACCGTCTGCCTTCGGCTCAGGTCATGATCCCAGGGTCCTGGGACTGAGCCCCACAACAGGCTCCCTGCTCCACGGGAAGTCTGCTTCTCCCTCTCCCTCTGCCCCTCCCCCCACTCATGCTCTCTCTCTCTCTCTCTCTCTCTCTCTCTCACTTGCTCTCTTTCTCTTTCTCTCAAATAAATAAAATCTTTAACAAATTGTTAAATGTTCCATCCTTTTAATCTTTTCCTTAAAGAGGACAGAGAAAGTACATCCTGCTGGTTTTGTGATCAAGATTTCCTCACCTCCTCGCCACTGTACTGTTTCAAACAGTGCAAAAATCGGCATGTGTTAGAGAGCCAGAAGGACACGGTTTCAAAATCATCACCTCTTTTCTGAAAGAGAGAAAAAGGCTAAATTCACTTTTCCGTAGGGAAATAGCAACCTGAAAGTAACTGAAAGACACCAGAAGGCCCACTTCTTTCAGTTACATTATAATTACTAAAATAAATCACATTGCAATTGTAAAGTCTTACATCATTGCTAGAAAATTTCAACCCTGTGTCGGTTGGTTGGTTGTTACTTTGCCTGGAATCTATTTTCTTGCCCTTAGAAAAGGATGCCCAGTCATTCAGGTGATGTGAGCTTAGCAGTGCCTTTTGGCAGAAAAAAATTCATCAAACCACAGCTTACCCCAACTCACTTCCCTCAGGATTACTCAGGGGATCAGAAAGGACTAAAAGCACAAAAGGGAATCACAGACTATGAAGCAATGAAACCCAGCTCAGATGACAAATCTGGTCGATGATAAGATACAACTCCTGGGCAGAGAATCAGAAATGGGATGGAGGGAGTCCTGTGCAGAAGAGGAGAGAGGGAAGCTGAATGGCTCTGCATCGGGACCGGGGCTCCTGTCAAACAACCGGCTGCTAAATCTGAAGAGGGACTCGAGGCAAATACACTTCAATTCAAAACTGGGACTGGAGACAAACTCACATCAATTCTGAATGGCATCAAAAAAAAAAAATGGCATCAGTATGCTAGTACCCACTCCTTTTTACTTTTTAAACAATTTGGTATAATAATTAGTCAAATTAGATAAATGTCTTCATGCAATTAGGATGAGAGGGAGAAAACATGAGTTGGTTTTGCTGTCTTTGTAGGAGCTGACTTAAAAGTTAGTAAAGCTTGCAGGCTAAATGTACTATAGCATCAATACACCAAAAATGAAATGAGTTATATCAGAAGACATTCATCACTTTTTAAATGTTAAATTTTCAGAAACTCCATGCTTTAGGAACCCCTGTAAAGCTAACTCCATACAATATCTGCCCCGTAGGGATGGAGAACCCGTTTGTCAAAGGTTCACTACCAGGGGTTGCAGGGAGGGTGTGTTTCATGAGGACAGAGCTTCAGGTGGGGAAGATGGAAAAGTTCTGGAGGTGGGCAGCGATAATGGCTGCACAGCAATGCGAACGCACTTAATGCCACCGAACTACGCACTGAAAAATGGTTAAGTGGTAAATGTTATGTTTCGTATATTTTACAACAATTAAAACAAAAGAGTGCATGAAAGACACCTTAGATTTGAGAGCGTCCACTGTGCATGTTAACTATCCACTTATCTCTGTCCTAAGTGTTCTCATCCAACTTCAGTTAGATAATCAGAAAGTGAAGTACTTGGAGCACATTCTCTTAGTACCTCACAGAAACACGTGAGTTAATGTTCATTGTTTTTCTAGAGAGGCAAGAGGAGGATTATGCAAGGTGAGTCAGTGATTACTGAGTTAGGCAGGGCTTTCTGCTCTATTACATAATTCTGCTGCCTTATCCAAGTCTTTCCTCTCTGCTTAGTATACGTGTGTTGCTTCTCACATGGAACCAGGCATTTCAGGTAACAAGGAAAATTATGTGGTGAGTTGGAGAATAACAGGAAGAAAAGGTGGAAGAAAAATTTTAATGTTTTATCAGACATCTTTACGAACAAGCCATGTTGTACTGAACTTCTTTAATACCTTTTTAACTAGAGCGTCATATTCCCTATATATATGGACCACATTAAATATTTTTAATTTACTTGTAAGGTCTCAAAACAGACTATTTCTGTTTATGAAGAAACTTAATTTACTCTGCAATTTAATGCAATTATATCATATTAATTTTGATTACTGTTCAACCTGAGCCCCACTGTACAAGAAGGCATATAGACACGTTACAAGAAAGACTGTTTCCTACAGTGGGAGTTTTCAGTGAAGACTGGAAAGTGTTCATATCCGCAACTTAGCCCCGGCCTAAGGAAGGAAAAGACCTTGGTGCAGATTCTGTCATCATTTATGTTCACTACGAGAATTTTGTTGAACATGAACTGACCTTTAATACTTTTTTGATGCTGTTAATTGTTGATGTTAGCAACGACCTTACTTTCTGATCATCATTCAGGTAGTCAGCATGTCGAACACACATGAACAGGATATATGCTGGTAACCCTGGAATCAAATTGACTGCCACCCCACGTGGCTTCAGTTCTGAAAGGAAATGAGGAAAAATAATCTTATATAACATTGAAAATCTTCATGAGGAGTGCTTTGTGAGATAGAAAAGCACAGTTCTCGTAAAAGAATTCAATCATTCAAGGTTAAGAGGTCATATTTAAAAAGCGTATTTTAATAGCTCATCAAGTGGAGAAATTAAGGGTGGGGACATGTGAATCTCAGAACTCCCAAATTTATATCTCTTGCCCTGACTTCTCACTTGAACTCCAGTTTCATGTATCAACTGTCTTCTTGACACCTCTGCTTAAGCACGTCAAACTGAGTCCATCCCGAATGAAACCAATGATTCTCTCCTTCCAGGAGTTGTTCCCATCTCAGTAAACAGGCTGTTCCAGACTTCTGGCTTCTCAGGTTATAAGCTTTGTCAATATCTTTGACTCATTTGTTTTCTCACACCACATGTCTAATCCAACAATAAATCCTGTTGGCTCTACCTATAAAACACATCCAGAAACTTACTTACTCTACTAGCTACCCTACAATAGGCCACCATCATCTTCTCTTGGACTGTGGTGATGGCTTCCAGACTAGTCTCCTGATTCATCCCCTGCTCCCCAGTAGTACCTTTTACACACAATGACCAGAGTTATTCTATACACAAATGCCACTCTTGTTCTGAATATCTTCCAAGTAGCTTCTCTTCTGTCATTTATAAAGTCAAAAATCTTCACTATGGTCTGTGTGATCTGGCCCTGTTCCCCTTCCCCAGCTCACTGTGCTCTAGTAACATTTCTCCCTCTCATCCTAACTGCAAGACAGTCATCTAATTTAACTCGACATGAGTCTCCTTGCTGTTGGCTGAACATGTCAGGCATGCTTCCACCCCAGGGCCTATGTACTTACTATTTTCTGCCTCAAATGTTCTTTTCTCAGATATCAGTATGATTTGCTTCCTTACTTCCTTTGATCTCTGTCCAAAGATCTATGAAAGAGAACCTTCCTGACAACTTTATGTAAACTAGTACACTTGTCTTTACTCTTTCTCCTTTGACCCCATTATATGTATATTTTTTCTCTACTCTCCCCAAGCCCCCCAATGTAAGATCTATGAGAACAGGGATCATGAATTACTTTATTCATTACCCCGTACCTAGAAAATGTTTAGCATTTGGTAGGAGCTCACTAAATGTTTATTGATGAATCTTTGTTAACTCTATGCTTAAAAACCACTGGCTTCTTAACATTTTTGCTAAATGAAGATCATGGTGAAACTTAAGTGCCTCTGCACCTATATATAGTACGTGGTTTAATGCCATGAACCCCAAGAACATTAAATCAGGTATAACTGCCAATCACATTGCTGTCAGCCCACACCTGCCAGGAGGAATGCTATGCAAAGGCTGAACAGAGAGGTTTTTCCCTTTTTTAGTTCACAACTTTCAGGATGTGTGTATTCCCAACTCATTTCCCACCCTCCCTAAAGAGCCTTCTTGCAGAACCAATGGGCTTATGCCCCATCTTGACCCTACGCTTCTCTAAAATGCTTCTTCCGTGTCCATCTCATTTGTCCAGTCCTCTCCTTCCACAGCTGGAATCTTTCCCTTAATTCTTTTGTTTTTTCCCTATTACCAAAGTGTTGTTCTTGACATATTTAGTTGTGAAAGGAAGCAAGGAAAAAAATGAAACTCGGGAGGTTAAATGGCCCAGAGCAGTAGTGTTCAACTGTGGATACACTTCAGAATCCTCTGAAAGATTGAAAAAAATGTCTTCGACGTGGCCAGGCTCTTCCCTCTAGAGACTGTAATGTGATGAGTCTATGGTGGGGACCACACGTCAGTGCTTCTCCAGATGTTCTGGTCTGTAGCCAGAGTTAAGAAGGCCTGGTGGACCCTGGGCGAGTCTCCCTGCAGCTCGGTTGATGAGGCAGGACTGGTCAGGACGCTACAGCAGGACAAGGAACGGCGTGCACTGACGACGCAATCAACCAGCGTTGAATAATCGAAAACTTAGTGACCAGTCTTCCCCACCACTGACACATGTACCAGAAAGACCTTCTACCCCGTGCAGAGAATACTTGCCCAGAATCAGGTTCTTGACAAGCTTCTGTTCATCCTCCTTCTTGTAGTCCAGCATGCCTTGGAAATCCTTTTCCTTCCTGGGAATGTTGACTGGACGGATGGGTTCATCAACGATCTGTCCTGGGGATATGTTCTCCATCTGGCCCACTTCATAAGAAATAAAAAGAAGAAAATTATTTTCCAGGTAGAAAAGATACAAGAGTTCCACATGCCAGTAATTTTAAATGAACTCTATAACAACGGAAACTTGCCGTATTTGCCACCTAATTATCTCCTCTTGAAATACTCTTTTCTGAGGCACTTGGATGGCTCTGTCGGTTAAATACTCCTTTCTGCTAAAATTACGTGGATATATGGCAAAATTATATGCTAATGTCACTCCAACAGCCACTAATGCTTGGCTATTATCAACATCAATGAACCTTACTTGATTCAAGAACTTTTTTTTTTGGGTAATAAAGTTTACTTTGTAGTGAGATTAAATGTCCCCGAAGTAAGTGGTTTAACTTCTTGGTTAACTAATTGGTACCGTCATAATGGTTAAAGATATTTAGACTTTAAGTAACAGAAGAAAAAAAAACACTATTCTAAAAAGAGGCAGCAAGAGTATCAAAGATTTCCGCCTCACATTTAGCTCTATGAATCCAGTCATTAAAGAAAAAGAACATTTACTTTAATTAAATGTATCACTGCAATCAGTTCAAACCACATCAAGATAGCTGGTAGAATAGGATTTCTTACATTAATCACCATACATTCCATCATTAGTTTTGGATGTAGTGTTCCATGATTCATTGTTTGTGCATAACACCCAGTGCTCCACGCAGAATGTGCCCTCTTTAATACCCATCACCAGGCTAACCCATCCCCCCACCCCCTCCCCTCTAGAACCCTCAGTTTGTTTCTCAGAGTCCATCGTCTCTCATGGTTCGTCTCCCCCTCTGATTCCCCCCCTTCATTTTTCTCTTCCTACTATCTTCTTCTTTTTTATTCTTTTTAACATAAAATGTATTATTTGTTTCAGAGGTACAGGTGTGTGATTCATCAGTCTCACACACTTCACAGCGCTCACCATAGCACATACCCTCCCCAATGTCTATCACCCAGCCACTCCATCCCTCCCACCCCCCACCACTAAGCAACCCTCAGTTTGTTTCCTGAGATTAAGAATTCCTCATATCAGTGAGGTCATATGATACATGTCTTTCTCTGATTGACTTATTTCACTCGGCATAATACCCTCTAGTTCCCTCCACGTCGTTGCAAATGGCAAGATTTCATTTTTCTGATGGCTGCATAATATTCCATTGTATATACATAACATAATAAAATTAAATAAAAAAAAGAACCTCCAAAATCTGTCCTCCATAATAAAAATGTTCTCATACTTATGATAGTGATAATTTTGCAAAACTCTATTAACATATTAAAAACAATTAAATAGTATATGTAGGGTGAACTATATGGAATGTGAATTATATCTCAGTAAAGCTGTCATTAAAAAATAAAAAAAGACACCCAGAAATATCAAAAAAAAAAAAAAGAATAGGATTTCTTTGCACTAGTCCAAATGAACTGTATCATTTTTCACAAAGGCCTCATAAGGCAAAGACCTAGCCTTCTTCTGCTACCCTTCATTCCCAAAGAAATCATGAGCAGATAAAACACTTCTATTTATTATGATTTCCTAGATATTTTCTTTCTTTTTCTTCTTTCTTGTTTGTTTTTAATCAAGTGCTAGAAGTCTTTTTTTTTAAGATTTTATTTATTTATTTGACAGAGAGAGAGAGAGAGAGAGAGAGAGTGAGAGAGGGAATACAAGCAGGGGGAGTGGGAGAGGGAGAAGCAGGCTTCCTGCGGAGCAGGGAGCCCGATGCGGGGCTCGATGCCAGGACCCTGGGATCATGACCTGAGCCAAAGGCACCCGCTTAACCGACTGAGCCACCCAGGCACCCCAAGAGCTAGAAGTCTTACCATGAGGTTGTAACCATTAAAGTACAACCACTGGTTAATGACCCTTTCAGATGTTAAAAACTGTCACTACTGTCAGTGGAAAGTGTTAGAGAAGGGTTATGCTAAGGATTAAAGGAAAGAGGTCTCCAATTTCATCACAAAATTGAGAAGTAAAGGGGAAATGCAAGGGGAGGAAGGGAACACAGAGTTATGATGGTGTTTGTGGAAATATATGCTAATAAGCAGGATTTTTTATTCTTTCATCTGCTAGAGGGGGCAGTTAAGAAATCTATTTGGGGATAGACTGAGTTGAATCTGTTGTCAAACAAACACAAGGCAGATCAAAAGCATGAGAACCTTTAATGTTGCTGATTCTCCAACATATCAGTGGTACTTCTTGTCACTCTGGGCGATTTCCTGGGTTAGTTCTGGGAAGCTGGTTCCACAGGACAAGGTTATCAGGGAGAACACCAATACCTGCCAGTGTTCCTGCTTATGTGGCCGAGAGCCAGCCTAGTGACACCCAGTCCACTTCAGGCCTGCGGCATCAGACACTGGGCTTACCAGTGCGGAAAATCACCACCATCCATCAACACTATGGTATCTAAAGAGTGACCATACTGTGACTGGACAAGTCAGGGCTGTGGGCATCTAGTACTTTGCAGACATGGTAAAATGTACGTCTCTATACAGGAGACAGGAAATTTAGGCCATCTAGTTTTACATGGATTACTTTTGGAGTTGGTTTAAACACAACAGCCTGGGGGTCTCAGAATCAGCCCATGGTGGCGTCTGCAGCTTGTGAAGTACAAAAGAGTAAAATCCCCGCCATCTGTGGTACTAGTGGCTCTGAGCCACAGAAACAATTCCAAGGGGAACTGGGAGGAAACAGATTCAACATATCATGTTTATCAATAAAGGTACGTATTTGGACTCTATTGAACCACAAGAGAATGTTTCAAGCCTACTGATTTCATCCACTGATGATGAGATCTACCATTATTTTACATAACACTGAAGAAGGAAAAACACTGCCAATTAAACTGCAACCAGTTCATCAACAGTTTTTGAAAGATGCAACCTAATTTGAGATGTTAAAATGTAAAAATTTGAGTACCTCAGAATTTATGAAATATGGCAAATATTTTTACTAGGAGATTTCACGTTTTCAAAGCAAGCTTCATTTCTTTTTGCAAAACCTCTAACCAAGGTATTTTTGGTTCTGTACAAAAATGTCAGAGACAAAATTTGCCATACTTTCATTAAAATTTTCTCCCTGCCTTTGAATTCCCTCAGAGATTTGACTCTTTACAAAAATTCATAGATAAAATATGGATGTCAGATCAATACGACCTTGATTTATGTAACAAGCCATCTACTAATTAAAATAAAATGTCAAGCTGGAAAAAATCACCTCAAAAAAAAAGAACAAGAGGCAGTACCGACGACTGTCAGGGACCTAATCAATACAGACATTAGTAAGATGTCAGAACTAGAGTTCAGAATAACGATTTTAAATATACTAGCTGAGCTTGAAGAAAGCATGGAAGATATTAGAAAAACCCTTTCTGGAGAAATAAAAGAACTAAAATCTAACCATGTTGATTGCACCTCATGCTATTCATGAGGTGCAATCAAAAATGGAGGCTCTAGGGCGCCTGGGTGGCTCAGTTGGTTAAGCGACTGCCTTCGGCTCAGGTCATGATCCTGGAGTCCCAGGATCGGGTCCCGCATCGGGCTCCCTGCTCGGCAGGGAGTCTGCTTCTCCCTCTGACCCTCTCCCCTCTCATGCTCTCTCTCTATCTCATTCTCTCTCTCAAATAAATAAATAAAATCTTTAAAAAAAAAAAATGGAGGCTCTAACTGCTAGGATAAATGAGGCAGAAGAGAGAATTAGTGATATAGAAGACCAAATGATGCAAAATAAAGAAGCTGAGAAAAAGAGAGATAAACTACTGGATCACGAGGGCAGAATTCGAGAGATAAGTTATACCATAAGACGAAACAATATTAGAATAATTGGGATCCCAGAAGAAGAAGAAAGAGAGAGAGGGGCAGAAGGTATATTGGAGCAAATTATAGCAGAGGACTTCCCTAATTTGGGGAAGGAAACAGACATCAAAATCCAGGAGGCACAGAGAATCCCCACAAAATCAATGAAAACAGGTCAACACCCCGACATCTAATAGTAAAACTTACGAGTCTCAGAAACAAAGAGAAAATCCTGAAAGCAGCTCGGGAAAAGAGATATGTAACCTACAATGCTAGAAACATTAGACTGGCAACAGACCTATCCACAGAGACCTGGCAGGCCAGAAAGGACTGGCATGATATCTTCAGAGCACTAAATGAGAAAAATATACAGCCAAGAATACTATATCCAGCTAGGCTGTCATTGAAAATAGAAGGAGAGATACAAAGTTTCCAGGGCAAACAAATACTAAAGGAATTTGAAAACATGAAACCAGCCCTACAAGAAATACTGAAAGGGGTCCTCTAAGCAAAGAGAGAGCCTAAAGTAACATAGCCCAGAAAGGAAGACAGACAATATACAGTCACAGTCACCTTACAGGCAGTACAATGGCACTAAATTCATATCTTTCAATAGTTACCCTGAATGTAAATGGGCTAAATGCCCCAATCAAAAGACACAGGGTATCAGATTGGATAAAAAAACAAGACCCATTGACATGCTGTCTGCAAGAGACTCATTTTAGACCCAAAGACACCCTCAGATTGAAAGTGAGGGGGTAGAAAACCATTTACCATGCTAATGGACACCAAAAGAAAGCTGGGGTGGCAATGGGGTGGCAATCCTTACATCAAAAAATTAGATTTTATTTTTATTGTTTTCTTAAAAGATCTTTTATTTATTTATTTGACAGAGAGAGACAGCAAGAGAGGGAACACAAGCAGGGGGAGTGGGAGAGGGAAAAGCAGGCTTCCCACGGTGCAGGGAGCCCAATGCAGGGCTCGATCGCAGGACCCTGGGATCATGACCTGAGCCGAAGGCAGACGCTTAATGACTGAGCCACCCGGATGCCCCAACAAATTAGATTTTAAACCAAAGACTATAATAAGAGATGAAGAAGGACACTATATCATACTTAAAGGGTCTACCCAACAAGAAGATCTAACAATTGTAAATATCTATGCCCCTAACATGGGAGCAGCCAATTATATAAGCCAATTAA